AAAGAAAGGTAATCATAAGTGGATAAAACCGTGTATAAAAACAAATCCTGAATGTGATCCAGTGTGCATATGTATTTGGTAGATTCTAGTCAAGGTTCCATAAGGTCTTACTTAGGTCTTTGGTGTTCTAATGAAAACAATATAGGTATATTGGCACTGATTTGTGAGTAAAATTGCCATAATTTTTAAATGCCTACATATTTGTAGAACAAAAAACAAAGACTAGGAAACATATATAACAAATCTTAAAAGCTCATGAGGGTTATTAAGATCAAAGCTACTAAGATCAAAGGTGACTTTTTTCTTTCCTTTTATTTTTATGTGCTTTCAAAATTTCCAATAATAAACCTCTATTACTTTTATATTTCTTACTTTCTGTTTGTCTTAGAATTTCTATTACTTTCCTTCTAACCCACTCTAGATTTTAGATCTTAGACAACCACTACGAACTCTCTGAAGAATAACAAATCTGACCCATCTGTAATTTTGCCCCCTAACGTACACTAGAACTTCACAAGATTCCACAGAATTCACACCGGAGCGATATTTTATAGGAGAAGTCATCTTATGGGAAATTTCTTTTGCTATCAAAAAAACCACCAAGAAATAGGGATAAAAATAGATCCTTCTAATGCCAAAATTCTTCTGTACAATGCTTTAGTAACGTTGATGTGTGTTGTTTTAAAAAAGTAACCTAATCACAATCTTTCTTATTAACTCTTCAGCTTAAAAAAAATTCTTACATAAAAATATCAAAATCCATAATGAAAAGCATTGGTAAATGCTTTTTTGGCTACCTAAAAATATATTTTAATGGCTGTGTAGTAAAAAAATACCATAAACAAAATAAAAAGATAAACAGGAACTTGGGAAAGCAATTTGCCACACACTGCATGTAAAATGCCAGTTTTCTTAATATAACATAAGCTCTTTAAAATAAGAAACAATGAATAACCAACTTGAAAAATGAGCAAAAGCCATGACTGGCAAACTTGTAGAAGAATAACTATCTAAACCAAGAAAGCAAAAAGAATCACAGCCTCTTTTGTAACTAAAGAAATGCAAATCAAAGAAAATACATACTTTTTACTTATCCAACAGAGAAAAAAATTTAAGATTTGTTAAAGACCAGATTTTTGGTATCATAAATTGGTATAATTTTTGTAGAAGACATTTTGTAAATATCTTTTATAAACTTAGAGAATACAAACAATTTTCTTCAATAATTATGTTTTAAACTTATGTTACTGATATATTCAAATAAATATAAAAATGCATATGTATAAATATCATTATTGAGGCAATTTTTTAAGCAGCCAAAAAGGGAAACTGAAAAGAAAAAAATCAAACAAACCTTAAGTCCATTAATAGTGGATTGGTTAATAAATAAGTTATGTTATCAGTGCAATGAATATAATACAGTACAGTCCTCAAAATGAAGGAGGCAGCCCTGGCTTCTTTGCTTAGTGGTTAGAGCATCAGTCCAAGGACTGAAGGGTCACAGGTTCGATTCCCTGTCAAGCGCATGTACCTCAGTTGCAGGTTCGATCCCTGGCCCTGGTCAGGGTGAGTGTGGGAGGCAACCATTCGATGTATCTCTCTCACATCAGTGTTTCTCTCGCTCTCCCCCATCCCTTCTCCCTCACTTCCACTCTCTCTCTAAAGATCAATGGAAAAAAATATCCTCAGGTGAGGAATAAAAAAAAAAACCTGAATGAGGCAGATTTACATACACTGATGTTGAAAGTTCTTCTAGCCATATTGTTAAGTTAAAAATAATAAAGCAAAGAGTAGGATAGTAAAATGTTAGTATGATGTGTAGAGTTTTTAAAAAAAATGTGGATATACACATTTATATGCATGTAAATATATTTTCTAAAAGTCCTAAGAGGATACGTAAGAAACTATTAGTAGGAAGTAGCTCTGGGAAGTGGATCCAGAGAGACAATTGGAGAGGGCTAGGAGACATGTACTTTTAAAGTATACTCATCTGTAACTTTACATTTATCTCACATGCATATATTCTATGAACTACAAAAACAAAGATCTTTTAAAATATTTTTTAAGTTATGGTTCAATAACACTTTAAGCTTTGTATTAAAAATAAGTATTTATCAAAGTTTAACTAGATTCACAAGTAAAAATCTAATCTATTATATTTTTTTAAATAGCTATTTTTGTTTTGTGGAATTATGATCATTCATTTCTTATTTTTATTTTAATCTATTTTCTTACATTTCAATAATGCATGTGCATTATTTGTATAAAACATTGAACCAATTTAAGTGCCACCATCCAGTGATAACCACACTTATATTTGGTGGTATATTTCTTATATTTAGTAGTTATGTCTACAGAAATGTCTTAGAATAAAACTGCACTATTTGACATGAAAATAGCCTACTTCTTATTCTCTAGTGTGTGTCTACTAGGGCTGGGGCGGATGTGGAGCAGAAGCAGAGGATGAGATCCCACGACAAGGTAGCCATTCAGTGCAGCCTGATTCTGTATAAGAAGATGTCCTCAGCGGGGACCAGATGACTTCATTCCCTCCAAAACCACTCATAAAATGTAGTGTTAATGCTTGCTCTGTAAATTACAAAATAAATCTGATGATATTTAGTGAATCTCACTAATTTTTTTCCAGATCTGGTATATCATAAATTGCTCTAAAATGGCTGGGCCTTTATCTGAGTAAGTCACTGAAGCCATCACAGAAGCTCTGTGTCCAGGTAAATACCTTCCACTTGTAGCACTGTATCTGCTAGGAGTTTTCTGTAACACATCAACAGTAGAGGTAGCACAAGAAGCCACACAAATCCCTGTCCAGTGACAGAAACAGAAGAAGAAAGAAATTCCAGTCTTACCTATTCCTTCCAGTAGACAGCTTAAGAACACGTATATACTCAGAGGAGTTTAAGTGCAAATGGTGTCAGAGTTACCAGGATATCCAGGTATAAACTGATGTTAAACCATGTGAAAGATCTGCAGTCCTTTGTGACAGGGACTGCCCTCCGAGTGGGTGATGGCTCTCCATGCAGCACAGCTCTGGGCTTTGGAAGAACCAGGAGAATGCTGTGCGCTCTTACTGCTGCAAGATGGGAGAATTGTCATTGGAGATGCCCCAGCATTGACTTCCAGAAGCACATAAACCTTAAAATTTGATCTGTTCACCTTCTGAAAAGCCACATGCCTCAGTCTCATTCTTACAAAGTCTCCCTTACTCCATTAAGAAATAGGGAAAATGGCACTATGAGGTTGGAGATAGAGGCTCCCTTTAATGCCCATGCTGGCTAAGGCCCTGGTAGGCAGGAGTCCCTAGAGTAACAGGGCATCACACTCAGAACCTTTGTTGGCCCAACTCCTGTCAAATGGGTTTCATACAAATAAAACTCCTGAATTTACCCAGCTTGCAATATTTATTTTCCTGATAAAAACTCAGCTCAAAGAACAAGCCCTCAGCTTTCCAAATAACAGGGGCGACACTCACTAATCCCCCTAGGGCGAATGAAAAGAGTAGTTTCCCCCTTCTGATTATGTGTGATTGAACCTAATCAAAGTAGAAGGTAGCTAGGATGGGTGGTGGGAAGGTTGACAAACTTCCCTGGACTCTATTATTTGCTGGATTGGCAAGTAGGAAATGCTTGCTGAAGGGCACTCCATGGTGGTGTTAGGAAACTATTTAGGACTGCTTTAATCTTGGAGATAAAAATAGCAACATTCCACAGAGTTCTGTTGCTGGAAATCTTTAGGGCTTTTTTTTTTTTTTTTTTTTTTTTTTTTTTTGGTGTGGTTAAGCCTAGGAAGCTACACTGCATATTTTCAGCAAAAATCCAGCTCTGGAGAAAGTGTTTAAAATATATGTCCTAGTTAGGAAGACACTAAGACAGGAAGCTTTATTTTACCTCCTAAGAGTACTTAATAGAAGGAGCTCTTGGTCCCTAACAGCCCATCTGCCTTGCCATGGAAGAAGCAGGACAGTGATGCCTGGAAAGGAGGCTGGGACCAGCCGCCCTTTTGCATGTTGGAAGCCCTCAGTCTCTAACATTCACAATTACATTTTGCTTACAAGTAGCAAAACATTGAAGAAAACATTATGTAAAATGTAAAGCTTTTTCAAATTTTTAAGTTTGAGACGAATAAGCAAAACATGCTTAATTCTAGGTTATATTTTGTTAGTTAAAAAATCGATGCTGCCCCCTTGTGGGTGGCTCAGTGGTTGAGCATCAACCTATGAACCAGGAAGTCATGGTTCGATTCCTGGTCAGGGCACATGCCTGGGTTGTGAGCTTGATCCCCAGTAGGGGGGACGGGGGAAGTTGGCAATCAGTGGTTCTCTCTCATCATTGATGTTTCTATTTCTCTCTTCCTCTACCTTCCTCTCTGAAATCAATAAAAATATTTTTTTAAATCGATGCTATACCAATTCTGCTACTAACTATAGCAATTTTACCTTCGGTTTCCTGTGAGATGATCTCCAAGGCCCCATCCCAGCCCATGGGCATTATATTGAAATACAAAAGGTATTTTCAGAAGGACCTTCTGAACTTTGTAATGTCCCTTTAACCAACTGACAACCACAGAACTCTGATCTCTTATTGATTTAAACCAGTAATGTGTAAACAGTATTTTAAACCTTGTTTTATAGGACCAAAAGAATTTTGGTTGAAATCTACTTATGAAAATGGGGGAAACCTGATTAGGATAGTTAAAAGAATAAAGACCATATTCAGTGGCTTAACACCTATAGACCTGCACTGTTCAATATGGTTGCTATTTGCCACTATGGCTATTTTAATTTAAATATGAATTATTTATAATAAATTAAATTGAAACTTCAGTTCTGCAGTTGTATTAGCCACATTTCAAGTGCTCAGTAGACACATGTAGTCAGTGGCTGCACACTGGACAGCACAGATAGAGAGCATCTCTTTCATCATAGAGAGCCCTATTGGACAGTACTGTATATACAAATTTATTAGGAAAGCAGCAGACTTCTATTGGTAAAAAGGCTGTATGCTTTCCTAAACTTATTTGGAAATTTAAAATCATTTTTAAATTCCAATTTTCTGAGTAGTGGGTTAACTGGTATTGGGTTCTCATAGGCACCCTTTTCTTTTTCCTGTTTATTTGCATATTAAAATACAGGAAATTAAGTCTTTCATGAAATGACACCTAAGTATCTTCAATATCAAATTTTCTCACAATCCAGTCAGTAGCAATAGAACTGATGTGTATAGATGTACCAAGGCAGCGTGTTCAAAACACTGTCACCTGTACAGAATCTGCTCAGCTTTGAACACCCTCCAAGAGTCCAAACTTCTTATACATTTGGCAAATGGAGCAACATTTTGAAAATATAGCCTAGATTCCTTAGCTCCTTAGACCAGCTCTAAAAATAGCTGATAAGTTTCACAATTGCTATTCAAAAATTATTTTTGAGAAGTTCTTAAAGCTGTTTGTTTTTTTTTGTTTTTACATCAGGCTTATCAAAATAAGTCACCCTCAGTAATCAAAAACTGTTCCATATGCTCGAACTGTTTTTAAAAACATACAGCAATATGGCCCTGGCTGGGTAGCTCAGGTGATTAGAGCATCGTCCCAATACACTAAGGCTGTGGGTTCGATCCCAGTCAGTGCACATACAAGAAGCAATCAATAAATGCATAAAGAAGTGGAACAACAAAGCAATGTTTTGCCCTGGCTGGTTTGGCTCAGTGAATAGAGCGTCAGCCTGCAGACTGAAGGGTCCCAGGTTCGATTCTGGTCAAGGGCGCATGCCCAGGTTGCAGGCTCAGTCCCCAGTAGGAGGCATGCAGAAGGCAGCCGATCAATGATTATCTCTCATCATTGATGTTTCTATCTCTCTCGGTCTCTCCCTTCCTCTCTGAAATCAATAAAAAATATTCTAAAAAAATATACAGCTATATCATTTAAGAGAAAACAAATATGAATGTCTCAATTTACAGAACAAAAATTTCATCATGTGAACAAAATTCTTTCCAAGAAGTCCCTGAAACCATTCAGAGTAGAGCCATTTCTTGGGCAGTGGTGTCTCCTAAGCATGACTGTTATCAGTCTAATGATACCTAGAACCATGTTAATATCATCTTGGAATTAACGTACCTAGAATATCTTTTTATAGAGAGGACAACACTGATATTGAAGCCACAAAGGCAGAGGCTTGCCAGAGCCATGCAGGCCGTTACAGGGCTTCCAGGATGTGGTTCCAAACTGACAGCATCCAAGGAGCTTAAAAAAAATACTGCTGTCTTCGCTCTACCCCAGATTCCTGATTTATTCATTCAAGGGTGTAGCCTGGGCTCTGACACTTGGATATTCCCTGGTGATTCTAATATATGGACATGTTTGGGACTTGTCAAATAGAACTTATCAAATGGGAAAATTTCAGCCCTGTAGGTTCCTGCCTTTTTAAAAAATCAGTAATTATAGTCATATTAGTGAATATCATTTTTGGCTAACAACCTATCTGTACAGCCTCTAGCTTACTGTTTCTAATTCACCATGGACTTTAAAAAAATGCTAACTAAACCTGTTAAAACTGGATATAAAATAAAAATAAATCTGTGCTCAGTGAGAATCAGGTTCCTTCATCAGCATACACTTTGGTATAGTCTTAGCATCTTAAAAGCCTTCGTCAGGTGCAGCCAATTAGGGAAACAGTATAGCAATTTCTTGTACAGTGGGGCCTTGACTTACGAGTGTCCCGACTAATGAGTTTTTTGAGATACCAGCTGTCTCTCCACCGATTTTTTGCATTGAGTTGATAGAGTAATTTGAGTTTACGAGCTCCTTAACGAGCTTGGTCTCGGAACGAATTAAACTCATAAGTCAAGGCCCCACTGTAAACTTAAATAAATGCTTATTAACCAACCTCCCTACTTTCTGGTATTTACCTAGGAAACATGAAAATATATGTTCACACAAAGACTTAAACATGAATGTTTATAACAGCTTCTCTCATAATTACTGAAAACTGGAAACAATCCAAATGTCCACCCACAGGGAAATGGAAAAAGACACTGTGCTCCATCCACATGATAAAATGCCACTCAGAAAAAATAAAATAAAATGCCACTTGGCAGTGAAAAGAGCAAACTAGGGCTACACCCAGTAAAAGAAGCATGCAGAATATGTTACATGCTGTGTGATTCCATTTATATGACAGTCTAAAAAAGGCAATACTATTGGGACAGAACCAATCAATGACTGCAAGGACTGGGGTTGGGAGGAGGGGAGAAGGAGTATAAGGGATTTTGGAGGGTGATGAAAATATTCTGTATATTGACTGTAATGGTAATTACACAGATGGGTACATTTATCAAAACTCATCAAACTATACACCTTAAAAGGTGTGTGTGTGTGTGTGTATATATATATATCTGACTTTAGAAGAGTATATAAAATAATTTTAACTTTTTAAAGTCAGAGGTTATTGATTTCTTAAAAATTGTGCAAAGAGGTACACAGTTATATTGAGCTAATATATGGCTGTTGGCTTTTTTTACCTCTATCACTGACCTCTCTGAGTAAGAAACACTAAAAAAGATGTAGGGTCATTTTCAAAGGCCAATATTTCTTTCTTACTATTTATATTCTGTAAGATTTTATTTTTCTACAATTACAGAAAGGTCTCCATTATATTGGCTAAAGCTGATTTATGTTTTTTAGGCAATTGGAAAGCGAAGCAAAATAAATCTTAGACCACTTA